CCTCAGCCTCCCAAAGGCACGGGATTACAGGCTGAGCCACCGAGCCTGGCTTCGACTTGCCTTTTCTAAACATTTCATGTAAATTGAATCATACAGTATGTAGGCTCTTATGTCTTGCTTCTTTCATGTAGTATGTTTTTGAGATTTATCTGTGTTGTAGAATTTATCAATAGTTTGTCCCTTTTTTGTTACTTATTAGTATTCCATTATATTAATATACCACACTTTATCTGTCCAGGTTGTTTCCCACTTTTTTATGAATAATGCTACTATGAACATTTCTGTACATGTCTTTGTATGAGTATGTTTTCATTTCTATTGATTCCTGGATCATATGGCAAGTTTATGTTTAACTTTTCACAAAACTGCCAAAATGTCTGCACAATTTTTTATTTCCACCAGCATTGAAGGAAGGGTCTCATTTCTCCACTTACTCACCAGCATTTGTTATTGTGTGCCTCTTTGATTATAGCCATCCTAGTGGGTATTCAATAGTATCTCATTGTGGTTTTGATTTGCATTTCCCTAATGATGTTGAGTATCTTTTCAAAAGTTTATTAGCCATTCGTATATCTACGTTGGTAAAATGTTCAAATCTTTTGTCCATTTTTTACTTGGATTGTGTCTTGTCATGGATTAGATCTTAAAGATGAATTGACGTTTGTGCTTCAGTTTGAAAAACAATGTACCCAGAAGTAAAAATAACAATTGAAAATAATAAAAATAATAGGTCACATTCATTTCATACTAGTCCTTTTTCTAATGGCATTTTTCTATTAACATATTTGTATCTTAACAACTCTCTGTTGTAGATGCTATTTTAATTTCCATTTACAGTTGCAGAAACTAAGGTTAAGAACATTGCTGAAAGTCACTCAGTTAGTGTTAGAGCCAGAAAAGTTTGAAAGTACATGACTTGTACCTAGAATACCAAGTAACCTTGGCGTAATGAATGAGAATAACACCATAAGCAACACCATAAATGTGAGTGGCAACCAGATTTTATGTTTGAGTTTTATATATGATGGTAGGTGGAGAAAACATATAGTTAGGTAGGATAATAATATGATGAGTTCCATTGCAGAGGCAGGACATGATTGTCCCTTAATTTTATTTTTAATTTTATAATCTGGAATTTTGAACTGCTAATGGGTTTAGCACACTCATTTTTTCTTTACTCAGTAAATACTTATTATATATGCTTTATATATGTCCTTGTCTTACAGAAAAGACATTCAATAAATATTTGATCTAAATTTAGATAAGGTGTATTTAAGAAAGAGATAGAACTTCTAAAGGTACTACTGTGATAAAAATATGACTCATTTTTTTCTGAAGATTTTCATCTCTCTCTTAAAATTAAAAAAACTTTTTAATATAAACCATTTCAAATTGCAGCATTTTCCTTGCAAAAGTTCAAAATGTCCATTAAATATATGTAGTCATAATATTACCATAGAAACTTAGTTAAGGCTTGGAATTATCGCACCATTTCTTGGCTTATCTTTTATTTCCTGTTGATAAATCAAAATTTATTTTCATTTTATCTTAATTTATACATTATTCTTGACTCGTGCATTAGAGTGATATACCAAAAGGAACAGGACAGAATGGTTTTATAAAGCCACAATTATGTCTATTCTTTACAGCCATAGAATGAGGAATTTTAGTGTTAATCATAAGATGATTACGAGTGACAGTGACCAGTGGTGATCTTTGTCTGATACTGTAACTTAGTAACTATCTCATGGTTAATACTGAAACATTTTCTTGTCTATATTCCCTTAAAGAGTTATTGCTTTCTAAAGTGTCCTTTCTTTGTATTCTTAAATACCATTTCTCAGATGATACCAGAAAGTCATAAAAAAGTAATGTACACCTTTCTTTGCTGAAATGAGTTTTTTATGCAGAATTATTCCAAGAAGGACATAAATGTACCTTACAATGCTCCCCTTCCCAATAAAAAGGATATTCTGTTAGGGACAGTTGGCAGGTGCATTTATTAGGATCTCAATGTGGAAGAGTCATTCAGCTGTCAAATGGATTATACTGGTGTCAGAGACTTCTACAAGTGTTGTATAATGGAGAAATCATGGACTTTGGTGTCTAAAAGTAGCAGCTTATTTTATTTATATATATTTACTTTTTCTTTTTTCTTTTTTTTTTTTTGAGTTGGAGTCTCGCTCTGGCACCCAGACTAGAGTGCAGTGGCCGTTCCCGGCCACCGCAGCCTCAACCTGCTGGGCTCCGGCGATCCTTCTGCTTCAGCCTTCCGAGTAGCCAGAATTACAGGCACACACTATCATGCCTGGCTGATTTTTTGATTTATTG